ATAATAAACATGTCAAATATTCTAATCAGACTTACTTATGAGCTTGTCTTCAATTTCGTTTCCTGTTGGCAGAAGGTTGGATTGGGTGGGCTCCAGTGGAAGGCTGATGATTTGATTTGTTTTCTTTATTTTTGTYAGTGTGACCTTGGCAATGGGTGGTAAGTGTTTCAGCCGGGGGTAGAAAAAGGAATTGGCCGGGTGGCTCGGGAAGGAAGAAGTAATCTGTGCAAATGAAAACGTGAAAGGAATGAGATGACGACGTGGCAGTAAATCATATAACACAACCACAAAGAAATGCAGATGAATATAAATGCAGTTTGGTGCTTATTCTGATGATTTTAGCTGATGCAATTCTATGCTTAGCACATATAACAAARATTGGAATAAGATGGCTTTAACAGTAAAAGATGGTTAAATTATCATGTAATCAAATTAATTTTAGTGTTCTTTTTTTTAAATTTGCAAAACAAGCTGTTTGTTTGCTGCAGACGATTTTGCAGAAACTACACATTTTTATGACCACCTTCATGTCTGGGCTGTAAGACTGTGGTTTTCACTTTTGATTGATGCAGTGTTGCTCTTGGCTCACCTGAGTGACTCTGTCCTGCGGGATAGTTTCAAAGTTGGGAGAAGAGAAGGTGAACCCGCTGTCAGTTCCAGCATCGTATGGGAAAAGCTCCAGTGTCACTTTTTCTTTCCAGTAGTCGCCGTCACACAGGTCAACACTGTCCACGCCCACAAACCAGTCTGGGCTCGGGACGATCCGTACCATAAATGACAGCTGCAGATGGAGGGATAAAAAATATTATGAGAAGAACRGGTAAAAAAGAGAACTGAAAATAAAATAAAATGGTGAATCATAGCCTACAAATATTGATAAGACAGGAGGTATATCATTCAATTTTGAGCATATAGAGGACATCTTCTGTCTTACACAACACAGTGATCTAGTGAATATACTTTTCCAACTTTAAAACACATGGAAAAAGAGAGTTAAGAGCCTTTTTTTATTGCAACATTAACTGATATGCTGCATCTGCATGATGTGCTGTGTTTTCCTAAATAGTTTGCTTATCAGCAGTAATTAGCATGAGCATTTTTATTTATATTAAAGGACACGTAYGTCTAAATTAGCACTTTTAATTTAACATTGCGTTACGTTTACGGGCTTTAAACTTGTGTTCTTATTTATTAAGATTTGCCCCAGTTGGATTACTGGGCCACAAAAAAAACTTTCTTTGAAAATAATCTCACAGCAGAGGTTGTAGAGTGTAGTTTACYCCATTCTAATACAAAAAGTATATCTGAAACTTTTATTTGGACATTTGACAACATCCATCCATTTCGCYATGTCAGTGAAAGCAGCCGGTTYGGATGTTATCAGTCCATTAAATGRACGTTATTAGCGGTTATCAGTCTCATAGAATGGCTTCAGGTTGTCCCGACAGTGCCCCCTAGTGGGTTACCAGTGCCATATACATTGGAATGCAACAATCTGCTACCGCCGGCCAGAGTCCGGTCTACTTTATTGCAGCCCATGTCATTTTCTCTAAAATTAACCTTAGTGGCTTTATACCTCATATTAACCAGATTGCATAAAAAACCTTAGTAGCTTTATGCCTCATACTGACCAGCTGACAGTCTGAAGCCATTCTATGGGACGGAGAACCCACTAGGCGGCACACTCGGGACAGTCTGAAGCCATTCTATGGGACTGATAATGGCTAATAATGTCCATTTAATGGATGATAATATCCGAAGCGGGTGGTGAAAGTCCTGTGATGCACTCGCTGACCAAGCTAAAGAAAGCCAATTGTTGAATAACTTACAAARGAGTGCCTGGCGAAGACCTCAAACTCAGTGTGCATCTGGCCYGTGCCTCTCACAGCAGGAGCGGAGAGGATCCCATAAACGCTCTGGATGCGTTCGCCKGCCATCTCCACTTCCTTCATGAGAGTCCAGGCCTCGCCCTTTTCCGCAAAGTCCCTCACTCCGTTGCTGGCAAAGTCATTACTTTGCCACATGTGGTAGTCAGAGCTGTGGGTYACCCCTTAGAGCAGAGGGAGAAGGAAAGAACAGCCTTGAAATAACTGGTGCAAGAGATTTTAGTCTGAAACATTCTTTCTTGTGGTTTTTTAATGATTTGGAACTCAAATCAATCAAAGTCATATTGCCAACCATTGGGCAAAGTTCCATAGTATTTTTTTATGCGTGTGTTTAATCTAATTTCTTGATTAGCTGCATTACATTTCTGCAATTTGATTAAATATATTTATGAATGTAACATGTCTGCTGCTGAGATAATTTTTTTTCATTGGTGCATTTTCACTCAGTTATCAGAATACTCCTAATTGTGATCAATAAGACACTCTTTAGCTTTGATGGACTTACCAATAAGGTTTGACCACTGCGCAGGTGGACGGTAGACTGGGTACTGCTTAGGGAATGCTGCTTGTGTCCATTTTCCTGTAAAGGTTAGGCTGTACTGAGCTGTTTCTGAGGCTGTGCACATGGGGACGTCAGTTGGCACTGGCATTGAGTGACATTGGCCCACTACCAACACTATAACAAGCAGGCGATGCAAGGACTTAGAGAAAGTGAAGGCATTCCTTGTGGTGTCCATAATAGAGTCAGATTTTGGGTGGGAAGAYGGAGGACCTGAGGGAAATAATAAAAAGAGGGAGCAATTAAGAACCCTACAGTTATATTTAGTCAGCTGCTGCAACTTTATTTTGAAATAATATCAACATGCATTGCAGGAGATGTAAATGCCTAACGTGTACCATTTCTATGTTAAGTTTTGTTTTTGGTTTGAGACAAATGATTATTTCWAGCATTGCAACATAGATTAATGCACAAGTTCTTCCAAAGCATCAGCTTCCTTTTTTTGGCTTCAAACCTATTGAAAACAACTCTGTTGTATATATTCCAKGAAATGAGTTTGCTTAAAAATTGCTTCACAGTTTGATGTAATCTTATCTTTTGAATATGCATATAATGATACACTTATTTTCTTGCTGTCAGATGTTAGACATTACAAGGATGTTCCAGGGAATTGGAAAATGTTTGACTGCACCACAAGTGCCCCATTTGAAACTCAACCCAGGTTTTTGTGTGTTAAATGRGGCAGATGAGTCAGAGGCAGATTTAGTTTTTCCCTTGAAACATTTTCAGTTTTCCCTTAGGATTTGCAGAGAGATTTATGCAGTGAAAAACTACAAGATCTGTCATTTTTTGAAATACATGTAGCTAGGGTACAATCATATTCCAAACCTCTTGTGAACCCTTCTGGTGTGAGATTTTTACCCTAATTTTTCACTCAATAATATGATTTTGATGATAGTTTTCATGATTACTATTCATATAGAGTTAGAGTTATACATGCTCTTTATTAGACATGCAATTCTACTATGCAACCCATTCATTCACATTTCTTGTCACTTTTGCTTTTTGCAAGTATTTTTGGCACTTACTGCATGTTGTATAGAATTTCATTTGCCCTTAAAATACTGTCAGTTTTGCATGCAAGTCTTCCATTCTTCAGCCATTACTTTATGCAGATGAAGTATTCAGGTATTCATTTTTTTAGAGTCATGTAGAAACAGAATGAGGAATTGTTACTCACAGGTCTTGTTCAGTGGTCAAGATGAATGAAGGATGTTCAGCAGGTGAGTGGAGAGGAGGGTCGGAGGTGAGGAGAGGGGAMGAGGAGAGCAGTGGATGTGGCTGCCGGGACGAGTGACTGCAACCTTCCAACTCCTCTTTCGCCTATTTATTACTTTTGGGAGGCTCACTCCCCCCTTTTCCTCCCCCTTTTCCCTCCTTTCACATTTGTCAACCCCTCCTTGCACCTCATACTTTAACACCCTCTTCAATTCGTTCCACTCTTTCTCTCAGCCTCACTATCTGCTCGTCAGTGTGACCTCACTGACTCCTTCACGCCCTCTGACTTTGGCTCCCCACTCCTGCACTGTGCTCCTCTTAWTCTTTATAATTGATGCTTTAAAAGACTGGTGTGTTTAGCAGCTTAAGATGTACAGCCAGGGGTGCTGTGCAGCTTAGAGGGTAGAGGGTAATTTAACAGTGTGAAACTGTAGGACTCTATATAAATTACATGTGAAATAAGGCTAATAATGTATTTTGAAGACTCAACATGTGTCATGTTCATTTTTTTCAATCCCGATCCAATCTCGGTGCTGCTTTTAAACTCATGTGGCAACTTAAATTTCCATTTTATYTATCGAAATGAAGGTTTGATAAAGCTTATAGTTTGTGGTTGATTTTGCTGTGTAAGAGACATTTTACCATTACATTTTTACACTTCGGATTTTCTCCTGTGTGCAAAATGTCCTGCCAATACCAATACTTTTCTGGCTGAATTAATTTGAACAAGCTTAACTTTTAAGTAGTTTTTGAYATTTATGAGTGCAAGGCAAAAAACATATACTTCATTTCACTTATTTAGTTCCTCAGTTAGTTTATGGAGCAGCATATTTGAGTTTATGGGTGCATTCACACCTGACACATTTGKTCTGCTTTAAACGGACCAGAGTTTCTTTCCCCCATTTGTCTGGACCTTTTATGCAGGTGTGAATACACTGAACTCTGRTGCAGACCAAACAACCGGGCCGAGACTCAGGGTGTATTCACACCATGAAGGTCCTTTGGTCCGCTTGTTTTGTCCGGACCAAAAGTGGACTTGATTTTTTTCATTTGGTGTGGTTTGCATTCACATTGTGCTTTTTTGCAAACAAACTATAACTTGTAAACAATGCCAYGAGGGTGACGATCATTGCTTCYWTTGGACAGAAAGGATGGGGGCAGGACTGAGAGCACAGACCCAGAAAAAAACATGGAAGTCCTGCGTGCTGCGGTTCTGATGTGCACATTTGTGCTGATAGTACAATTGAAATACCATTTAAAATATCAAAAGCAGCTAAATTAATAGTGGTTTCGCAACRACATTCTAATTTTGGAGCAGCATCAGTAAATGTGTCCCGCAACCCAAAGGAGACGAGGTTTTCTGCCTGTTCTGACCCACAACATGCTGGCAGTAGAGCGGCTAAGCAGGAGACGACTCAGGTATGATTTCAGTWTATTTAGCTTAGCAACAGTGGCCCGTGAAGTCCAAAAAGGTGATGTTTCTTGGAGTTGGTTCAGTTCGAGTCCGGTCTGTATTCACACCAGAASCAAACCACACCAGAGTTTGTTTGGAAGTGGACTGAGACCACCTCAAAAAGCGAGTTTCGGCCCGGTTGTTTGATTAGCACCAGATTTCGCATGAGTGTATTCACACCTGCACAAAACGTCCGGACCAATGGGGGAAACAAACGGACCAAATGTGTCAGGTGTGAATACAACCTCATTTTTGAGGTGGTCTTGGTAAGCTTCCAAATGAACTCTGGTGCTGTTTGCTTYTGGTGTGAATACAGACTGATCTTGAACTACAGGAAACGTGTGCCTTTTTGGACTTCACAAGTTACTTTTGCTAAGCAACATTAGCCCTTCAATGTTGCTAATGCTAACACTGCACTACAAACAATGAGCCATTGTGGAGCATCTTGTTTCCTTTAGATTGCGGCACGCATTTGATCACGCTATTGCAAAATTATATCATCGCAAAACAGCCCCAGAATTAGGGTTGGGCTTAATCCTATCGTGTGCAATTAATTGTCAGAAAAACATTAATCGATTATTTTTTGGCACTTGACGATTATTACGATTAATGCCCCCAAGCAGAGTCCAGTCAGTGCTCCTCTCCGCTTCAAATATGACGAACATTAAAAAAAAGGTTCTGTAATTTATTTATCCATCAACACAATTTAAAATTTGATGTATAGTCTGAAGTCTGTAATTTTGACATAATTTGGAACATTTTTTTTGAAGACCAAATCTTTCCCTCTAAATTGGTCATGTGACTAGGACATAAGGGTKTCCAGGGCATTAATTGTCAAATTAATCGTTATCGGCTAAATACTCCAATTAATCATGACTGTTTTTTTTTTGCAAATATTGCCCAACCCTACACTGAATGAGCTGTTCTTGATGTTCTTAATAGTCAGTTGTATTAACACCATCTTTATTTCTGGGTATGTGCTCTGTCCTGCCCGCGTCATTTCTGTCCAATGGGAGCAATGATCGTYACCTTTGTGGTTTTGTTTATAGATTACAGTCCACTTGCAAAGATCACAATGTGAATGCAAATGGCACCAAAGGAAAAAAATAAAGTCCACTATTTGGTCCGGACCAAACAAGTGGACCAAAGGATTTTCCTGGTGTGAATACACCCTAAGTCTCTTCCTGCTTTATGAWTGAATGCATTCAGCCTTAGCAAACACAAAAATGTCTATAACTCAGTCAGTTTTACAGATATTGAGCTAACATTAGTGTGGTTGTAGCTGAGAGTCATTCACAATGGTGGGCAGATTGTAGAGAAACTTTTGTAAAGTAATCACTAAATGTACATATGAAAGTAATTAACTTATGGAGTCATTTCAGCTCAAGATGGCTGCACAGCTAATCAACATTAGCCAAAAGACAAATGGCTGTAACTGTCAGTTTTTTTTTTACAGATATTGACTTAAAATGGATGTGGTCACAACACATGCTCTGAGCATGTCGTCTCAGGATTTGCATGAGCATTAGCATAATGTTATTTTCATGGTACGACTTTGTAAATGCGGGTGGAGACCAGGGTTGCGAGACTTGATTTACTGAAGCTGGAGGTGACAAACCCACACACTCACGTGCAAACCCAAATGTGCCAGCATGCTGAATCAGCCCACACCTAATGGTATCCATATGGTCACGTTTCCTAAGAAAACAAACTGAAACACCTACTCACAGACACACACACACACGGACCACTTGCCCTCACTCAGCCTGTTTCATTTTCCAAAGTTATTGCTTGGGTTGTTGAGTCTAGTCTGTTCGGAGGCTGCAACATTTTAAAAAGGAAAGTTAGCTCATCACCATCCTCTTAACCTATGCACACTGATGCACTGTGTCCAATTTGACCAGTTTAAAGCCAGATTGGCAGGTGTAGCACTCGCCCTTGGCTGCACTCAGTAATCTCTTCAATGATTCTGAAACATTCAATCTTTTAATGACAAACAAAATTTTATTGCTCAGAAATATTATCCTAAACAGATTTATTAACTGAGATTGGCATGGTTATTCAGCAACCTCATCATTGTTTCTAACAGTGAGAACAGCTGAACACATTCATTCCAGTTGTTGAGTGAATGCCAGTTTGTTGAATGGTGATAAATGACCAACAAATGTCAGCTCAACTAAACAAATCCATCATCAAAAGAACAGAGCGGTTGGTCATTTAAGAGCCATATTTTCTATGGTAACATGATGTGAAATAATCTGGCTTTAGTTCACACAATTCCCGGTTTACCATGATGAATTTATAAATACTGATAAACGTTACTGCTCACATGAACACAAACATACAGCGGGTAAAATAAGTATTGAACGCGTCAACATTTTTCTCAGTAAATATATTACTAGAGGTGTCCTGATGCATCTCAGTAATCCAGGTAAAAAATCAAAAGGAAAAAAATTGTATAGGTCCTCTGGACGGGTTCTTCTTTAATGAAATGTTTCGTCTCTCTTCCAAGAGACTTCTTCAGTCTGAGAGTTTCAGGCAAAATTCAGGCTTTTGAGTCCTGCCTCCAGGTGACTGATACTCACATCACATGGCTATCGTTCAGACCTAATTAATACCTATTGTTAACAGGGGGTGGAGTGATACTGCCAATGGCAGCGCTGTAGGAGGGGGACAGCTGAAAACGGAGGCCCCCACCTCTGTTCAATGATGGACGGTCTTTCTTCACAACAATGGCTTCTACTCCTCTCTCAAACCAACGTTCCTCCCTATCAAGAATGAGAACATCCTCATCTCTGAAAGAGTGACCGCTGGCCTGTAAATGAGTGAAAACTGCAGAGTTCTGGCCATTAGAATTAGCTCGTCTGTGTTGGGACATTCTTTTGAACAGTGGTTGCTTTGTTTCCCCGATGTATAGCTGGTCGCAGTCCTCCTGGCACTCAACAGCATATACAATATTGCTCTGTTTGTGCCGGGGCACCGGATCTTTGGGGTGAACCAGCCTTTGCCGTAATGTGTTTTGGGGTTTGATAGCTACTGGTACATCATGTTTAGAAAATAAACGTCTCAGCTTCTCCGAACCACCCGCAACATACGGAATAACCACTGGTTTGGGTCTGGGTTTGGGGTCTTCATTTTCACCTGAAGGTTGCATGGAATCCTGTCTGTGTTTCCTGTCTGCTTTCAGGAAAGCCCAGTCTGGATAACCACACTGCTCCAGGGCCTGTCGTGTGTGTGATTTCTCTTTCTGCCTGGCTCCTGGGTGTCTTTTTACTAGAGGTGCTAATGACATGAAATTTTCACCAGATGTCGGTAACAACCCAAGTGATCCATACGTACAAAGAAATCAAAGCATAAATGTCCAGAAATGAAGTTATTTGTAATAATGTGGAATGGCACAGGGAAAAAGTATTGAACACACTTACTGAAATTTATCTAATACTTTGTACAAAAGCCTTTGTTGTCAATGACAGCTTCAAGACGCCTCCTGTATGGAGAAACTAGTGGCATGCATTGCTCAGGTGTGATTTTGGCCCATTCTTCCACACAAACAGTCTTCAAATATTGAAGGTTTTGTGGACTTCTTCTATGAACTCTGATCTTTAGTTCTTTCCATAGATTTTCTGTTGGATTCAGGTCAGGTGATTGGCT